GCACATGCTGAACCAGGGGGGCAAACAGGGACCACATCCTGGAATGAGTTCCTGCCCCCAGTAGGGCTTCCAGAGGCAAAAACCCGGTCAGACCTTGCGGGAGCCACTCCAGTCCTAGAGAGAGACAAGGCCCCTACGTGGCCACTCCCCACCCCTCTCCTGATTATTGAAACCTCCTGCCAAGCAAAAAGAGCCCTGATCCCTTCCCGCTGCCAATGCTTCCTCTGTCTCTGCTCTAGAGCTCTTCTTCCCTAAGCACTGAACTGTCTTGCTGCCTGTTTAATCACTGTGAGTAGATAAACCCAGTACCATGCGGTCATAGGCGCGGGAACTAGCGGTGCGGGGGGCGCTGCAGCACTCTGCTCATGATCGTGGCCCCACGCCCGGGGTCCTGGCTGCCGGCCCCGCACCTGGGGCTGCACTCTTTGGCCCTGCGCCTTGGGCTCCGTGCCTGCCCCCAGCTGTGACCCCAGCCTTGGCCCCCTGTCCACGTCCCCCGTCCTGGAGCCACGGCCCTGCTCCCAGCCCCAACTCTAGGGGATGGCGGGGGCCATGGACAGGGACACAACACCCCCATTATAAAAAGTGTTCCAGTGCCACTGCATGCAGGTTGTTCTGTTGCAGACTTTTCTGATGAGACCTTAAAATCTAGGGTCCCTCCGCTCTGCATGGCCCTAAGAGATCCCTGGCACTCTTCAGAAGCACAGAGGTGACCGTGGCCAAACTTTCCTCTCAGGACTTTCGTGCAGCATGCTGGCTGCTCCCCTCCGCCCCAGAGGTGGCTGCATTTCAGTGGTGCTGAATGTGTTTAGTGTGTGAATCCGTTCAGTGGAAAATAAGATCCAAGCTGCATTCTCAGCTGCGGAATCCTTGCTCAACTCCCCTTTCCTGGAAAAGGGCCCTGATCCATTTACACACACACACACCTCCCAGGGTCGGCTGGTGCAAAGGTCATTCCGTGATGCCGCAGCAAAGGCAGCAGGGGATTTCTCAGAGGCATCATTTTAGGCAGGCTTTTAAAAAATCACCTTCCCTTCCTGTGGTTTTTATTTGCACTTTTTGCTGTTCCTGAAGCCGGGACTGAACACGCTTTGTAGGTGCACTTGCAGCTCACCTTTACCCGAAAGCCGAGCACGGTGTCAGTCGCAGGCTGAGAACCCCCCACCAGCCCCGGAGGCCCAAGATTTCTTTAAACCCGCGAAATGTTTCTGATCTTAAAACCAACCATTTTCAAACACTTCGGTTTCACAACAATCAAAACTTCCAGCCATTTCCTGGTTCGCTCTGGTGACTATTGGGGGGCACAGAGGAGTTCCCTGAGAGCCTAGCCCCATAGATCCCAAGTCAGCCATTGACTTACCTTTCTCTCATTGCCCTCAGAACTGGCCAGGGAGAAGGTTTTAATTCATCAGCTGTCACTTGCCGGATACCCCATCACCACACTTGGTCTCTTCTTCCAGTTACTTCTCTAATGTCTGCTGTGATGACTCACAGGAAGTCTGTGTCAGGGATGTAAAAACTACCGGGGGAGAGAAGTCAGAGAAACAGAACCTGGTTCAGGGAGGAGAGGGGCTTAGGAAATGCTGGTGGGCTCTGAAACCACCGGGATCCAGGCCCCCTGATTCTCTGGCCAGCCTTAGCTACCCCTTGGTCCTGCTGCCGCCTTGCATGCAGGGCTCCTGTCCGCAGAGGTAGGCTCCCTGCGGCTGGGCAAGGTCCTGCTGGGAGTTGTAGTCTTTGTGAGGGAGGGCTGGTGCTGCTTGCAGTTTCGATTTGGAGTCTTGGCTTGGTGCTGTGCAGGTGTCAGGGGCTGCAGGGTGGCCAGACAGCAAATGTGAAAAACCGGGACAAGGGGTGGGTGGGTAATAGGAGCCTATATAAGAAAAAGACCCCAAAATCGGGACTGTCCCTATAAAATCAGGACATTTGGTCACGCTAAGGGGCTGGGAATGCGTGTGTTGAATGAGCTGTTTGTGGCTTTGGGTGACACAGAGGGGTGTGAAAAACCTCACTTTGTAGCAAGTTGTTCGGATTTGTTAAACCCCAGCAGTGTGCACAGCGCTGGGCAAAAGACAGAGGCCGGCGCTGTCTCTGCCAAAGGGAATTCAGTTCTTTCGATCGAAGGGTGCGATCCTACCAAGCCTTTCTCCTTACTCCTGTGAGTAATCCCATCAAAGTCACGTGGCTCCTTCCTCGCTCCCAGGTAGCGCTTTTCATCCAGAGAGCTCAAAGCACTTTACAAAGGCTGGTCATCAGTATCATCGTCCCCATTTGACAGATGGGGAAACTGAGGTTAAGTGAGATGGGCAAGTCACCCAGAGCCCAGGTCCTGGGCCTTATCCGCTGGACAAGGCTGGGGCGTTGCATCACAGTGCCACATATACCTAGAACATCATTTCTGAGAAGGGGCTAATCCTAGAAGTCCTAGTACAGTGCTCTGCCCACTAGCCCACGCTGCTTCTCTGGTTTCCAAAATGGCTCCCAGTGCGTGGCAAGACCCCCGTTGATCTCAATGGGCTTTGGAGCAGGCCCTGTGTGGCAAGACAAAACAGCGCAGGCCTGATTGTGCCCCCTTTCCTCACGCTGGTGAGCGCTAGGCCACAGTCCTGCAAGGGCCTTTGCAGGGGCTTTCCAGAAGGATCTGAGCTTCCATTAAATAAGCAAGTTTCTCGTCCTCGTGGTGGCTGAGGAAAGCCTGGAGCAAGCGGGACCGGAAGGCTCAGAAACTGGAAGGCACATAGAAAGACCCCATCATTTTTTCTTTTAAAAAAATCTCATGATTCTTAAACCGATCTCGTGATTTCCTGAGGCCTGATGCATGCTTGGCACTCGTAATGCTGGCTGCCACCGAAGCCAGGGGGACCACTTGTGTGTAAGTTGCCATCCTTGTGAGTCTGGGTTGTGTAATTACAGCTACAGACGTGGCTGGATGGCCAGAAAGACCTAATGTGTTGCTTTTAATATATGTAATTGGGAGACTAACAGGGAGTGTAACTCAGGGGTCTAATGGCCCAGCTACTGACTTAGAACTCAGAAATCCTGGGTTCTATTCCTAGCCTGCTAAATGGCCTTGGGCCAAGCCATTTCACCTCAAGGGTGTGCATCTGTAAACCAGGGATAGTGGTTCTGACCTCTTCTAAGGCAGTGGTTCTCAAAGTCGGTCCGCCGCTTGTTGAGGGAAAGCCCCTGGTGGGCTGTGCCGGTTTGTTTACCTGCCGCGTCCGCAGGTTCGGCCGATTGCGGCTCCCACTGGCCGCGGTTTGCAGCTCCAGGCCAATGGGGGTTGCGGGAAGCAGCGCGGGCCGAGGGATGTGCTGGCCGCCCTTTCCGCAGCCCCCATTGGCCTGGAGTGGCGAACTGCGGCCAGTGGGAGCCGCGATCGGCCAAACCTGCGGACGTGGCAAGTAAACAAACTGGCCTAGCCCGCCAGGGGCTTTCCCTGAACAAGTGGCGGACCGGTTTTGAGAACCACTGCTCTAAGGCATGTTCAGATCGACAGCTGGAAAAATGCCTGGTGTTACTGATTCCAGTCGGTGTGGTTGCCTTGTATTCCAAGCCAATATTGGTGTGGCTTGGCTTTTTTTGTGCTAATTTCTTCCAGTGCTAGTGATCAGGAGGGATGTGTGGCGGGGACACGTTTTGAGACAGAATTATGATTTTTAAGTTGGTGGTGTGCCTTTAACGAAAATGGGGATCAGCTGGTAGGAAAGGCTCCAATCATTTGCTTTCTTCTCTTGTTAACGACTCCACGTACCCTTTGTATGAAATACTTTTGCCAAAGTTCTCTGTTTCCTTTTCATTCCCTAATTTTGGACCATGCATTCTGGAGTTATTTCAAACAAACAAACAACCCCCCAACTAGAATTGACTCATTTCTATCGAACGTTTCCGTGATCTCAGGGGAAGGATGTTTTGGTTTGAGAGCACAGGGCTCCTGATGCCAGCCGCCACTGCCCACTTCTTAAATTTTCAAACAAACACCATTGTGTTTTCTTCCTTCCTGGTGCACGTGCTTGGAAGGCGCTCCCCATAACCACCCACAAAGCTACCTCATTGTCTTCCTTCAACTTGCTCCTCCAAACTCTCCTAAGCCCCTTGGGATAGACGACTTGTACTTCCCCATACTGGCGGGGCACAATCTAAAGAGGAGGACACACACGTGACTGCCCCATGTGTCTCCTCTGCCCAGTGACCCCCCCACCCTGCACCCAGCCTGGGACCACGGTGCTCTCCTCACCCCAAGTTACCTGTGGTGGGGTGGCCTCCGACTCGCTCAGCCCGTCCCTGGCAGCTGGGGTGGCAGTGGGCTGAGCTCTGACCCCTAACCTCCCGGCATACTCAGCCTCTGTCCCCAGCATTGAGCCCAGGCAGGGAGTGGGCCACCGTTGCCTCCCAGCCAGGTCCTTTCTGTCAGAAGTGGCTCCATCCTGCTCCCCGCCTGGCTGCCAGGGAGACCGGTTGAACATGCTGGGGGGGGGCAGACGCAGGGAGAGAAGGACAGAGCCCCTCTCTCTCCCTGGCAGGCCAATTTGGGGGTGCATTTGACCCCCCATGCCTCCCCTATGTGCTGCTTCGTCTTTTCATTCTGTGCTTGTACAGCTCCTAGCACAGTGGGGTCCTGGTCCATGAGTAGGGTTCCTAGGTGCCACTGTCATACAAATAATAATAATAATTAATAATCAGAAGAGGTGGCTTCCGTGCCTCACTCTGACACACACATCCTGGGTGATCTTGTGCAGAGCCAATTCCAAGCCTCAGTTTCCCCCACCTGTAAAACTGCTGCGTGACCTTGGACAAGTCATTGTATGTGGTCTGTGCCTGTTTTCCCACCTGTAGGGGAACTAAGGCCCAGAGAGTAAAAATGACTTCCCTAAAGTCACAAAGAAAGTTGGGGACAGGGAGGAATTGAACCTAGAGCTGGTGACCCAGTTCTTTTAGCAAAGATGAAATCCCTGGAGTGACACCGCTGTAAAACTCATGTGAGTGCAGAACCATGATCAGAGAAAACGGTTTATTGTTCCTCTGACGTACCTCCAGCCTTTCCCCTTCCTTCGTGACTTAGAGTCTTGAAATCTGCTATCACCCCTTTTGCTGTATGATGCTACCCTCTAATGCAAGAATAGCCTTCCTGTGCCACAGTCCCCAGTCCGACTCCACGCCAGGGAAAATAGCAGCTTCGCCTGTCTATGCTGGGAGTTTGCATTGGTGCAGTGACGCTGGTCCCAGGCCACCAACGGCTGTACAAGGGCAAATCCCCAGTATAGAAAAGGCCCTTGTATAATGCTCCTAGCAGTGTGAGTAGAGCAGTCTGATTAAGTGGCATTTTTACACCTGCTTTGGACAGGTGTAAATGCCTAGCCAGTGAAGAACTAGGCCTGTCGTCTTTCCCTCTGCTGGCTTCTCAACCGGGCAGCAGCCATCACAGATCAGCGTATGCACGGAGTGCCTGGAAGGGAGTGGGGGGTGAATGCAGTTTCAGTTCTTCCATTTTTGTTTCAAGCTGGCCAGCACATTCTGAGGATATTTTTTGCCCCCCTGAGTCACAATCACACACACAGCACAGGCTGTACCAGCAAGAGCTGCATTAGGCCTGGTCTACACTGGAAAGTTATACCGGTATCACTCTGTTGGACAGGGTGGTTTTTTGTACCAATATAGTGATGCCAGTACAGCACCCCTGGTGTGGACGCAGTTAAACCGGCATAAAGGTACCTTCTACTGGTGTAGTTTATTCCCCTTTCCATATGGGAATAGCTATAGTGGTATAAAGCACGATTATACCAAAATGACTGCGTCCTCCTCACTAGGTCATACTGCAATAACTATACCAGTATTTGCCAAAAGAACAGGAGTACTTGTGGCACCTTAGAGACGAACAAATTTATTTGAGCATAAGCTTTCGTGGGCTACAGCCCACTTCATCGGATGCATAGAATGGAATATATAGTAAGGAGATATATATACACATACAGAGAACATGAAAAGGTTGGAGTTGCCCTACCACTCTAAGAGGCTAATTAATTAAGATAGAGACTGGGAATCAGGGCAGGATTTTTGCCGCCCAAAGCAAAAACAATTTTGGCTGCCCCCCCCCGCCCCCCGTTCTTTAATTACCCCACCCCCGGCCCCGCCTCAACTCCGCCCCTTCCCCAAATCCCCAGCCCTGCCTCCTCCCCCCAGGCTCTCAAGCCTAGGAGGGAGGGAGGGGGAGAAGCGGCGCGCGAAACGGCCGGTCGGGATCTCCCCCTCCCTCCCAGGTTTGAGAGCCTGGGAGGGAGGGGGAGACCCTGAGCCGCTGCAGCGCGCGAATCAGCTGTTTCGCGCGCCGTGGCAGCAGCAGCGGAGGTGAGCTAGGGCGGCCGGGGCACATTTTTAGTGGCGGCATTCTGGCACCGGCCATGCCGCCCCTAAAAATTGCCGCCCCAAGCACCAGCTTGTTTTGCTGGTGCCTAGAGCCGGCCCTGCTGGGAATGGCTGAGCCATTACACACATTGAATCTATATCTCCATGTTAAGTATCCTCACACCTTCTTGTCAAACTGTCTGGAATGGGCCATCTTGATTATCGCTACAAAAGTTTTTTTCTCCTGATAATTGCTCATCTTAATTAATTAATTCATTCTCTTGCATCTGAAGAAGTGAGGTTCTTACCCACGAAAGCTTATGCTCCCAATACTTCTGTTAGTCTTAAAGGTGCCACAGGA